TTTTGTAGGCTTTGTATTCTGGAAGATAGAAGTCCTGTCTAGCTTGTCTGGGGAAGTCTATATTGGCTCTAACAGGTTAAAGCAACTGAAAACAGTTGAAATCAGTGTAGTCTGGTGCTTGAAAGGAGTGGTCCTATCCTTCTCCTACTATCTGCATAAGTTCTGGGAAACTTCTGCTGAAAACCACTGGAGAAGAGGGGCAAACCTCTAAAACCTCTATCTAGATTCTGGCAGATGCCTCTGCCTAGGTTTGTCTGTAGCAGCTGGGAAGCTTGCTGCTCCACTTTTAAGGAAACAACTAATTCTTATCTTTTCTACCCAGTTTGTGTGGCGAGTGCAAAATGTCTGCAGGCACTAAACCTCTGCTGTTTCCTAGCAGTCCTTGGCATTTACAGCCTGTTCTGCTTCCAACCCTGAAGAAGCTGAAATGTGTTAATCAGCTGCCATCTGATGTTTTTCCATCCTTTGAATTTCTCTGCCAAAGAACACACAAAAACATTAGGTGCCAAGTGAGAAGCACCAAGTGGTTGCAGCTTTTAATGTCTGTCACTTTTCTACATGCTGCCATAGGTTTTTCATGACAAGAAGTTGCCCAAGAGATACTGCTGTAATGTGGTGCCCTTTTTCTAATGGAGGGATCCTTCTTGACTGAGCAACCACAGAATCATTTAAGAAGTTCAAGCTTAGGAAGATGCTGATGCCCACCTTCTGAAAATCAGGCCTGTGTTTGACCTGAGAGAGTCTCAGTGCACACGTCAGCATTTAAGAATGCTGATTCTACTGTGCTGGGAAATTGAAACCCTCACTGCAAATTGCAGGCAAACTGAAATGCGCAGCCAAATTCCACCTGCATGTGGAATTGCAGGTGATGGATTAAATGGTCTTGAAACCAAGCTTCAGTCATTTCTTCACTTATGTTTCTTATTACACAAAGTTCATCACTTGTCTTTCTATCCTTTTCATACATCTTTCTTGCACTAGACTGATTCTTCTCAACTGTTACCTTGTTGAACTTTTTCCTTAAATGCCTGACTTCCATATCTCATGAGTTTTGTATAGAACAAGGTGTAACTAATTGGTTTTTTGCTGCTTGAAATTTTCATTGCAGAATGTGTGCATGTGCTTTCTTTCAGTGCAGGAGGTTATGAGCTATGTAGGAAGGAAGGATCAGCAAGTACCTTCCTGCAGCACTCTGGCTTTTGCCAGCTTTTGTTATACACATTCCTAACGTGCTGGGGAAGTGGTGCCGCAGCTGAGATCCCAGTGACTGAAGAATTCCAGCAGGATGAAGCACCTCTGCAATGGTAAACTAAGATTATCCAGCAAGCTGATCTGAAGTAATTTACATGACAGGGCTGTCCTGCTCAGTCCAAAAGCCTGTCCTAGGGGCTTCTTGTTCTCCATAGTAACGATAAAGCCTGGAAGTAGCCTTAGGTAAAACTGAAAGCTGTAGAAACAATGGATGTGTTACTTAGTTCTGCAAAACAAGTCCCCTGAGCCCTGCTGTAAACTGAAGTTAGCTCCTAGATGCAGCCTGACCTAAATCAACCTCCTGTGATCGCTTTGCACACTCTTGCAATCAGCGTTCCCTCTGGGTCCTTCCTGTGAATGTCTGTGTTTCATGTCTGAGATGCCTGTATCTTTACTTTCTTGTCTCCTCACCGGGCTTTCAAAAACTTGTTTTACTTCTATCCCGAAATTAACTTCATACTGACTTTCTCAAATACTTCTGTGGACACTTCAGGTAGCTCCCTACAGACCTGCTGCCCACAGTGGTCACTCCACAAATCATCATGAAGGCTTCCTATTGCATAACGTTTTCCTGGGATGAAAGCAGAACTAGCATATTAATTAACTGAATGCGAGGTACGGAACTGCAACCCCAGTTGCTACATTCAAATGAACACTTTTATTTATGGTAATGCCAATAGGTTAAATATGCAAACCCCTCTGGGAAGAGTAGGATTGCTGCAGGGTGGAAAAAGCTTTTAGTGCCTGCAACTGGGGGAAGGACACACAGAGCTCTGACTTTTTTTTTATTGTTAGAACTATCTGAAGGGAAGGCAGCCCTTCCCACAGGAGCTATGTGGGAGCTTGGTTCTCCCAGTCTCTCTTCAATCCAAAAGTGTATCTAAAAGCTTCCAAGCCACAAGTAAGAAAATGCACACCAAGAAGCAAAAACATCTTAATTATAGTCAGAAAAAAAAAAAAAAAAAAGACTGCCAAGCATAATTTTATCTGTTCTACTGTTTCCTCTTGCTAGGAAGAAAACTGCTTTTTTTATTGTTGGTTTGCTTTTCTCCCTTCGGAATTAAGAGAACCCATTGGCAGTAAATAGCTTCTGCGGGGTACAGGTTGAGTCACTTGTTAAGAGGAAGAGGGCATGACTAAGTCCAATGGATGGGTATTGCAAAGGGCTATGAAATTCATGCACTGAATGAGATTCTTTGACATTATCACTTCTACAAGTCTATGGGCTTCTTTTGTTTGTTTCTGAGGATGACGGGCTGTCAGTGGAGGGAAGCCTCTTTAAAAGTTACCAGCACTACTTAACTATAATTGCGTTTGAACTTAATCTGAGGAGGACTCCGAAGAAATTCTCTACTAAATGCTGATTTAATTCCCTTGAACTAGATCAAATGAGACTAGGCTTAAAACCTTTTAGCCAGTTGTTTTTTTTTTAAGCCTTCAGTTTTTTTTTTTTTTTGCTTGCTTTTTTTTTTTTTTTTTTCTTCTCAAGGAAAAACTAATTTTCTATCCAGCTCCTCTGACTGAGAGGATACTAGAGAGCAGGAAGTGCGGTCCATGCTCACCTTGTCCCCTCACATCTGCTCCATAATAAAAGCTATTTGCACAGGGATTTCTGTGGGGATTTTATTGCTGTTGGGTCAGTCTCAAGTTAACCCCATTGTTCTGTGCTGTTGACTGTTGTCCTTTTACCAGGGGACACAATCAATTTTAGTTTTCTGCTAAAATGGTAGCAAAGTACACTCCATAAAAGCTGTACTTTGTGATTGGCATTATGATAAGTTTCCAGGAACTTGCCAAGTACAGGTACGTGGCCTTGTGCTGACTAATTGAGAAGTCAGACAGCTGCTATTGAGCTATTCTGATGGCACTAGGCAACCTGACCAGTCAGACTGTCACTCTTTTTTTCCCCTCCCGTCTGTGCCAATGATAGCATTGCCAAAAGCTTTACGGTGCAACCCTCATTCTTCCATTTCCGTGATGTCTGCTGTATAGAAGTCAACAACCTGATGGCACCTTTTGTAAACTTAACTGGGTGAGGCAGTGCTGCAGCATTTGTTAGCTGGCCAATTTCGTGCAGTGTGCAATTTGTGAAGAGGAGCTCAAACAAGCATGCAGGATAGAGAGGAAAACAAAAACTGATCTTCATTTTCAGAAAGTAGTATATACTTTTAGACCTGATCCCCTCCAAAGGTGCTGTCAAATGCTCGGATTTCTGTAGCCTCTTGTCTACATCCCCATGCTTCATCTGAAACAACAATTTTTGCAGTAATGTTCTACTACAGAGTCGCTGAGCTTATAACTCTGGGGTGCATTGTTTAAGATAATGTTTCCAAAAATACAGTGGATTTAAACCAATACTATAAAAAGTGCTGACTGACTGATTGTTACTCTGCAGACTGCCCATACAGCTTTTCTGTTATGCTCTACAGTCTGCAAGCCTCAGTGTACCAATCCATGGCTCCATTTTTAGCCATCAGCTCTCTACCCTGTGGTGATTACTACAGCACAGAAGTGCACCAAGTTCTGCTATTGCCATCTAATTCCTTGCTTTCTCCTAATGCTGTCTAGTCGCAAGACGTCAAGTAGGTAAAATAATCTTTCCAAGTGCTTGTGTTGCATTTTAACTTCTAATATAACAGCGGAAGCTCCTGTTCTTTGCTTTGGAGGCTGTTTGCCTGCAGTAAGTGCTTAACAAGCGGGGTGCCATTCCTTGGTGTGTGCTTCTGGCTCTGCTGAACATGGTGCTCTTACAGGGTGAGCAGCTAGCTGCTTCCTTTGGGCTGTTGTGCAGAGAGACAAAGCTCTGGGTACAGGAACAGAATGTTGGGTTTTGCACGGCATGAAGGTTTTGGTGGCTTTGTTTTCGATTCCTCCCCAAAACCTGAGCTGGTGGCAGAGAGGAAATCCTGCGGGAGCTCTGTGCTGCAAGTGCAACTGTCAAGAGCCTAGCTGAGGGGCTTGCGGCTCTAGCTGGTGCACAGGCAATCCAAGACGGGTGGAGATAGCTTCTGTCAGCACGGTCGGCCAAAAATCACAGGTCCCAAGCTAACCACAGGGCGTCTGTAGGGGGTCAGTGAGGCGTGCCTCTTCTTGGCTCTTTTTAGTCCTTTTGTGGACACGAGAGGGCTGCTTCCCCTCCAGGAGCCTGTCCCAGGGCTCCAGCTGGTTGGAGGCACCCTGCGCCCTGCCCAGGGCCGGCGCTGCGCCTCACGCCTTCCTGCCCTGCCCTCAGGGCGGCCGCGCGGGGTCGGAGGTACAGCCCTGTCCTTCTGGGCGGCCGTGAGGGGTGCGGTGGGACTGCGCTGGGGCGGCCCCGCGGCTCTCTCTCCGGAGGAAGGAAGGCAGCCCCGGTCGGCTCCAGGAGCCTGGTTGAAAGGGAAGGTGTGAGGGAGAGGGGCCTCCTGGGGGACCCGCGGTAGGGGGTGAGGGCTGCCCCGCGGCTCTGGCCGTTGGTGGCACGGCCACCCGCGCCTGGGAGCCGTTACGGCGTCTGGGCGGGCTTTGCCCTGTGAGAGGCTGCCGGAGACACCCGGAGCGCTTGGACGGTGTGCAGCTTGCCTTGCGGCTTGAAGGATTTGAACCAAATGTTGTCATCTGTTGGTTAGCAGCAGAGGGTTTTCCTGCCCCAGGCTCTCCTTCACTAACACCCGCCAGGCTTCAGGCTAACTTCCCTCAGGTTCCTACTTTCCTCCCTGACACAATACCCGATGAGGTAACAGCACCTTGCTAACACTTCTTCCCCTTCTTAGGATTTGTCGTGAATGAAATCAGCATGTGAGAAGATCTAATTGGAACTGTAAGTTTACTTGAAGATGCCACAAAGGGAAGAACTCATCTGCAAGTCTTGTCTTTCAGAGCTGTCTGCTCTCTTCCAGTACAAGAAGAATGTTTTTGAGAAAGATGACTTGTGAAAACCGTGCAGGAAGTTGGGTTTGTGATACTGAGTGAGAGACATCATGCCTTACAGCGGACACTTATCCTGAAGGACTGACACTGTGCTCTCAAAGTAAACTGCAAGCACTCTTTATAAACAAAACAGAGAAGACAAAAATAATTCTGTTCCTAAACAGGAATAAGAATTACAAGAACTGCATCAGAATGTTTGTTAGTCCTAGAAGAGTCAGAAAATGCCAGTTCTTGCAGATATTTGCCACTTGCTTCATACTGTGCGTCATGATTTTCTGGGGACCATTTGATAATCGCTTTGTAAGCCATATGAAGTCCTATTCATACAGATACCTCATAAACAGCTACAATTTTGTGAATGACAGCCTGTCCATCAGTAGGGATAACATGGACAGAGTAGCAAGCTACCAGTACTTGATGAACCACAGGGAGAAATGTCAACAGCAGGATGTCCTTCTCCTGTTGTTTGTGAAGTCTTCTCCTGAAAACCGTCATCGGAGAGATGCAATTCGACAGACTTGGGGTAATGAGAAATATGTTCGTTCTAAACTTAATGCCAACATTAAAACCCTTTTTGCTTTGGGACAACCAACAGATCATTTGCGGCAAAGAGACCTTTATCTGGAAGACCAGAAATACAGCGATTTGATTCAGCAAGATTTCTTGGATACTTTTCACAACCTTACTACTAAATTACTTCTACAGTTCAGCTGGGTAAATGCCTACTGTCCTCATGCCAGGTTTATTATGTCTGCAGATGATGATATATTTATCCATATGCCAAATCTTGTTGCTTATCTCCAAAGTCTAGCACAAATGGGTGTTCAGGATCTCTGGATTGGCCGTGTCCATCGTGGATCCCCTCCCGTAAGAGATAAGACTAGCAAATACTATGTTCCATATGAAATGTACCAGTGGCCCTCGTATCCAGACTACACAGCAGGAGCTGCGTATGTAATATCAAGTGATGTAGCAGCTAAAGTATATGAGGCTTCATTGACTCTCAATACCAGTCTTTATATAGATGATGTCTTCATGGGCCTCTGTGCCAACAAAATGGGAATTGTACCACAGTATCATGCCTTTTTTTCTGGGGAAGGAAAGGCTCCATATCATCCCTGCATTTACAACAGAATGATGACATCTCATGGACATGTGGATGACCTTCACTATCTCTGGAAGCAGGCTACCGATCCCAAAGTTAAAAAGCTTTCCTCGGGGCTCTGGAGTAGAATATACTGCAGAATAGTTAATATTATGCTTCTCTGTAAGCTGTATTATGAGAACACATACCCTTGTTCAGCTGCATTTTCCTAATACTTGAATATCTGTTGAAGATCCACTGAGCCAAAACAGAGCAACAACTTTTTTTGCTGTTTATTCAAAATATACGTAAATGTGAATAGCTGGGGTGGGCTTGGGAGGGGTGGGATAGGAAATGAAGCAGGGTAGTGGGAGGATGGTGCCAAGTCCTGTTCAGAAACTGTTATTGGAATAGCTCTCCTATTGTACCACAACTTTCTACATTGTAGCCTGCTTTATTACTATTATTTTTTTTACACCCTTCACAGGATGAGAATCTGAATTATATGGTCATTAAATGAACTATAATGGACTTCTAGACTTTGAAATGGTTGGTGAAAATATCACTTATTTTGAATTTGTTAGCAAGTCCTAAGGTTTTTTTTTTCTTTTTAAAAAGCTAAGGCATGTGATTTTTTTAAAAAAGTCTACTGCATGAAAATGAAGTAGACCTTTCAAAACGAGAGGAAGGAGAACTTGTGACTCAGTTTAGTAGTTCAAGGCAATGTAAATTGGTTACATATATTCAGTATTTTTGAATGCTTTATGGAAAGTATGCCTGGACCTGCACAACTGACAAAGTACAGGAAGTGTAGACCTGCTACAGTCTTTTTCTCAAAGCCCCCTCTATCTCTGAAGTAAGGAAACAGTGTCTGAGTGCCCTTTAACTTGCTTCTTCAAAGCAGCAAATGAGCTCCCTTTAGATCAGAAGTGAACTGGAAAGGATGAAACTCTAGTGTTTATGTCAAAGCTCTGTCTTCTGAAAAGTTAAGCTGTATATTTAAACAATCCAGTCTTTAATAAGACAATAGACTAGGTGCGTTTAATACTGGTCTTCTAACAGTGGTTCTGTTTTCTTTTGTTCATGGTCCTGAAGGTGAAAAGCAAGTGAAAGTCATAGTTGTGTTCCTCAGAGTGTTATCTATAGCCAATTTGAAGCAGTTAGTGATTTTAAAGAGCAAAGTTTCATGTTTAGCATTTGTTAAATAAGGAGAATGTTTTCTGCACAAAGGTTTGATGTCATGGTGAAAGGTTAGGCAGATGGTGATCCACAGAAACTCAATACACAAAATCACAGTCACTAAAACATTTCTCAAGTCTTTTCCTGAAGAGAAAAGACTCTGTAGAATGTCATGGTTGTCTTTGTCCCCAAAAGCCTGTCTCTTGAATAGAGCTAACTGTTAATATCACATGCAGGAAGAACCAAATACCTGTGCATTGTAAATCTAGGTAGTGCTGAAATTCCAGGTGTTGAGTTGAATTGTGGTGCCATCTAAATGTTGTTCCAAAAAAAAAAAAAAAAAAAAGTGGTTCTGAGATGTCTGCAGTCTTTTCTCGTATAACTTACTAATGGTGTCTTTACAGTCTCACAGGACGGCTAACTTGGTTGTGGTAGCTCTTCCTGGAGCAGGCACAGGCTATGCAAAGGGCAGTCAGATATTGCTTGTGAACTGATTCAATACTGGAACAAGTTAGTGTAGGTAATGTCATTAAAAACTACTTCTGAAAGATTGAATGAGACAAGTTTATCAGCAAGCAGGAACATGCAACCCAAGAACTTCGGGGTACCAGCGATCTGCCACAGTCTTGGGATCTGCCGATAATGTACTGCCTATGGAAGCAATGCTCCTTGCTTTCTGAGATGTCTAAAGCTGGCCTTTTCTCCTCTGCCTGAAGTTTGTTACTGCTGTGTGGAGCAGTGAAGCATTTAATGTCTTGTAACTTCACTTTAGAAGAGTTGTGTGTGGCATGGCAGTTTTAAGCTGTAAGTAGTAAATTGTTTAAATCACTGCTGCTGTTCTGTGAGCTGTGCTGCAGTTTTAATGATTTGAATGCTAATGGTATTTGAATGCTAATAGCTAGCACTGATTAAAAAAAAAAAAAGCAGCAGCTTGCTGACTGTTCCTGAAACTGCCATTTCAGATGGATGTTAAGTAGCTACTAGATTGAAGTGAATATGTAACTTCACAATTGGTTTTCCAAGAGGAAAATAATAATCCTAACTGGACAAAATGTTAGGTGTGTATAGATCACAAACTCATTTATCAGTATTAAAATAATTGGACTGCAACAGCTGTATTCTAGAAAAACAAACCTGGTTCATGTTCTTCCCTACAAACTGATTACAACCTGAGGATTTTTTCTTTTTTTTTTTTTTTTTCTTTTTAAGAAAGCAAGACAACCAACCTCGATCTGTAACCTGCTGGCCCTGGGCAGGTGCCGGTGGGGGGAATGCACACAGATGTGTTCAGTACTTGAAGGAAAACTTCTTCATCAGATCTAGGACCTGTTGCAGGCCATTTAACTCAACAAGATGCACAGCAAAATGGCACAACTGGAAATGCCTCCCCATTCACTTCAGGGGAAAGAGGGTCTTGAAATTTATACACAGCCAAAGTCTTCTATTAAGACTACAATTTTTCTGGCGTAAGTGTGCATTAGGATTTCTTTTCACTCATACAAGCAAAGTCCAAGTTGTAAGTATCTTAAACTTCCATAGTGACCTAGGTAACATCTAAAACACTACTTAAATATAGCTTGCTGTTATTTGAAACTCACTTTTGACCATTGAAATATGTTGTTTTGTGGCTAATTTAAATTTTGCTTGGGTTGTTTCTTAAAAGGGCCTTGGTGTTTGTTGTTTGCATTTTTGTTTGCTGCAGTGAAAAAAGAAGCTGCTTATGAATAAAAAGAAAACTATGAATGCACTTCTTTAAAAAAAAAAAAAAGAAAAACACAACGAAACCCAACTTTCTGGTTCAAAACACCAACTTCACATTTGTACACCTTTAACTAGAACCTCTTTTAATGATCATCTTGGTGCTCCAATGCAGGGCTGTCAGGTTTTACTTCTACAAGCAAAACTGTATCAGCCTGAATGGTCATGCCTCATTAAGAGTTTGACATTGTTGCACAGCGTGTTTAATGCTAAAATTGTTTTTACCTGTTTGTTTGATTTGCATCAATTTCCCTTTGATATTACTAATTTTTATACAAAGTATTCAATATTTATTCTTAAACTTTGCTCTGTACCACAAAAAGACAATTGTTTTGTAAAATCTGATTTGAATAAACAGACTTGTTTCCTTTTTTTTTTAAAAAAAAAAAGAGAAATTTCTTGTTGCTTTCTTTGTAACCGATGCTGAGATGCTATTCTGAGGACAATGAGGGAGTGTCCTTCCAGGGGACCATGTGGGGATTTTTGTGTTTTCTTTTTGTTGACTGACCTTACGCTAAACCTCCAAACCTTTTAGGGAACAAAAGGTGAAATGGAGGTTCCCAAGAAAGGAGACAATTCAAGAATTTGTTTAGTGGGTTTATGAATCTGAAATTCTACAAAATATTAGAAGCTTAGCCAATTCTTAATGTGAACTTACACATTCGTGCCTTCTCTTTAGACAATCATTACCTTAGAGATGTGATTTGAAATAGACCTTATTTTGATAGATAACACATTTTGTACCTTCTGAGAACTAGCTGATAGTTTGGTGACCAGTGGTAGTCATAATTGTTATGCCCTATGAAAATACTTGGAGTCTGCTGTAAGTTCAGATAGCAGTAAGTTTCATTTTTGTATGCCTCAGATTTGCATAGCATTACAAGCTCGTGCTCTCGTGTCAAACAACTTAAGTGTATACCTGTGTGAAACAGAGGCACAGTGTAAGAAAAGGTTATTTCTGTTACTATGAAGAAAACAAAGGAAATTGAATTGGTAGGGTTTGGTTTGCAGCTTTGCTGCAGGGTTTTTTTTGTTTCAAATTCTGTTTCTTTGGCCTAGAGACAGTGCATTCAACTAGAACTGTGTCTGCTTGACACTACTTGTAAAACTAAATAACTAAAGTATTGGTATTTTAGATGGCATAATTAATCTCTCCCAAGAGTTACTAGAAAGTGAGACTAGAAGATGATCAGTTAAATTAAATTTTTTAAAAAAAAGCTTCTCAGAGGCATACAGTCAAGAGTGAGTTTTTTGAACACAGTGAGATGATGTTAATAATCGGATAATGGCATCTGCAAGCCTCAGTCTAATGAGTGCCGTCACGCAGTGAGCGCCGTGTGCTGCCTTACCTCCTCCTCGTCGACAGGTTCTCATCGCTTTCACTCATAACCAAGACTCTGCTCGATCCCCCTTGACTCGCTTCGTGCATCACTTCAATCTGAACAAAAAGCACATACGATGCAAAAATACTTAGTTGCTCATACTTCTATTTAGAGAATTTTAATTCTTTACAAGCCAATGTAGTACAAAACCAGTGTAGTGGATCACTTGATAAGTTAGAATAATTTGCTTAGACGTGCAAGTTATATATAAAAAGTAACTTTTGTCTCTAGTTTTCCAATTCTGTTGGCATTAGGGGTATTCTTAACTCCATGCAAAGTTATTCTTGGGTTCTTTCAGTATAAGAAGTGAATTTATATCCTTAGGTAGATACTCATAGGCATAAAGGCCTGTTCCTTAGGCTCTGAAATACTGTGTTGGTTTTGGTTTTTTTCCCCTGCCTGAAGCCAACGATGAAGACATTATTTTTAAAGTCTTTTGAACAGTGCCAACCAGAGAAGTCTGGGAAATCTATCTTGTATTGTATCTGAGAAATCTGTTGTTGTATTGATAATGCTATTATATTATACAGCAAATGCTCAGCACTGTGCTTGTGTGCAAACACTGGCCCTGTATTGTGATGAACTGAAGCTTTGCATACAATTTTAATACATATGAATGTACTTCCTTGTCCAGTCTTACAGAGTTGAAACATTTCAAGGGTGTTCCAGGCAAATTTTAAGCAGGTTTTCTCTCTTTTTGTCTGTAGCTTTAGAGCTAAGTACTACTTGGGCTTCTGCAAAGGCAGAATAGTTTAATTCAGTGAAACAAATCAAGCAGTGAGCTGGTGGATAATGTAAACTCCACTGCAATCTTTAAGTTCTTAAGCATTTGAAGAGCTGCTTGTAGAAGTTAATAGTGCCCTATATTTATTCCATATAAATAAATTATTTACCTATTTTGATGATGATGTAATCCATTAATAAACTATTACAACAATCAACACTACATACATGAGCAGAAATCTTAATGCTGGCATCAGAGTAACTTTTAAAAGTGCAATATGAAGTGTAAAAAGGGCTCTGCAGAGAATTAACTTGTAATTTTTACATTGTTTTGAATTCTCTTGCAGTTTGGCGTGTCCCGAGAACTTGGAGACTCCTACCTTAATTCCACCTTTGGTCTTCTTAATGCTTTTCTTTTTTGATAATTCTGCCTCAGAGATGGACTTGGGAGGACAAGTAATTTCTGCAGACCTCCTGTTGGTAGCTGAAAGAGTCAAAAAGAAAATAATGTTAGAAGACTTGTGCTAAATGTTGAAATCCTACTTCCAAATAAAAGCAGTGAGCAGTGCTCCTTTTACTTCGCTGACAGCTGGTATGTGACTTAGAGAATAGAATTGCAGTTGTAGTGGTGAAGGAGCAGCTGGCATCAGGGAATGGGCTGTGGTGTTTGGTGCTCCACTGTGTCTCAGATTGGCTGCAATGTTCAATGCTGTAATGACTGCTGCAGTTTGGCTTCTTCCTGGGCAACCATCCTTAAAGTAGCACAAATAAATTTTAGCCAACTGCATCAGTGGTTGGATAATTTTCACTCTGATAGTTTTTAAGCTCACGGTTTGCTACTTGTTAGATTTTGCAAAGAAAGCACGCTTTTGTTTTGGTAATAGTTTGATAAAGTCAAACTGTTTCTCACAGAGTTTCATAACATGAGTGATCCTGAAAAGAGTAAATATGCAAGTATTCAGCAAGTCACCCTGATCTTGTATGCAGTGACAGTGAATCTGAGGAAATGATTTCAGGCTACGCTGTCGTGTCAGGTTTGTTTGGCCTTGCAGGCTCTGAAAATTTGTTCACAGCAAGTTGTCCAATGCTACTAGAAAATCATCCTTAACAAATGAGCCTCTCATCTGAGACTGCTATCCAAGGAAAAGTGTGAGAATGAACCAGCAGATGGAGGACTGTATATTCAACTTGAATAGAAAATAATTTCTCAGTTACAATTTGTATCTTCAGTTGTACTAAATTTATAGTAAGTACACAATGTGTGTTATGTAAGCACAAGGCAAATGGGGCTCCCTCCTCTTAGTTGCTGAACTGATACAGGCAAGCATGCGCGTAACGGCAAAAACAAATACGTACACCAGGTGAAATGATGAAAGTCACTGGGTCAGGCAGCAAAGAACAAAAACACTGCAGTTCTGAGATGAAGTCTCTTTGGTTTTATTCTCAAAAAACTTTCTAACTCAATACGAACTTTTCCAGAATCAAAAGCTGGTGTTTTCAAATGCATCTAGTAATATTTTGTTCATGAAACTGGGCTATAATTACTTTCACTCTTTCTCTGGGAGAAATTGTGGATTGCTATTTAAAAGATTGATTAAAAAAAAGATAAAAAGATATTTAAAAAGATGCTCCTTCATGCAGCAAATTGCTCAGGTCAGTAATTAGCTTAGTCATGGCTTCATCAGTATGATACATTTTAGAAGGAAGAATGGAGAAAAAATCAGATGTAGCCATTTGTATTTTAGGGGAGGCAATTTGACACAGCAAAGAGTACCCTCTTTTAATTTGACCCAGAAATGAAAACAGGAAGCAATCTGGTTTTGGTTATGCATCAGAGCATTTTTACATCGTTGTTCGGTCTACAGCCAGAGAGTGCTTCATGTCATTATATTTAAGTAGTTTTTAGAATAATTGAGAAAGAAACTGCCCAAATAGCAGCCAATTACTATTGCAGTAATTGCTGCAAAACTAGAAATGTTTAATAAGGGAAATTCCCTTCTAAGATTCAGTTCAGTTGGCTGTTTCAAAGTCAGAGAAACATAAAAGAGCACAGCGATCTACAGGAAGAACAGAGGCACAGGAACAAGTGTGCAATCTAAGGTCTGCATGTTGGCAAGATGTTTTCATTTTATTGCTTTACTGTACTCTCCTGGATATTAGGTTAAAAATTCTAATTTTGAACTGGGTAATATTGTAAACTGTTTGCTGCTTTAATAGAAAATATTGTTAAGGAGCAGTGTACATAGAGTTGAATTTTTGTTGCAAGGCTATTTATAATAATACAGGTTTTAGGTCTATTGCTTTAGTTCATCTGGTGGACTGCTTTGCTTCTCTTGTGGGGCCTTTGATACTGCTTGTTTTTTATGAACAAGTTACATGATAAATACGGAGTTGCTGTTCCTGTTAGAACAAATGCAACTCATCAGGTAGCAAGAGACAAATCATGCAGTCAAGGCTTATGACGTGTAGACAACACTTCTAAGTGTCCAAAGTATGTAAGTACTGTGCTTTAAATTCAGGTTGTGTGAATTGCCCAGTCACATGCTTCCCCATCTTTTTCTTCAGTAGAAGAGTTCGTGCATTCTCACTGATCACCCACAGCAGAATCTTTCAGTAAGAACAGTCATGGAAATGACTGCTCTGCCAAACTGTTCATGGGGGCTTGCAGCATGTGCTGTTGCACAGAAATGATTTACTGGCGGTTTTCTATGCTGGTGATGACAAAACAGCATGCTAAGGCAGCTAAAGAATTGCCAGAGCATCTAAGATTCATCATCAAATGGCTTGATACAGAAACTTTTTTCCATTCTTAGGCAGTATAATCTCTGCTTCTCTGCTCTAGCAACATTGCTGTTGAGCCTCTTGAAAATCTGCCCATCTAGGAAGCATAGAGCGAGGCAAGTGGAATGTTATTCTGTAAGGAGACAGGCTGCTCAGTTTCCTCAGACTTGGCCCAATGTGATAGCAGCCTTACAGCCACAAAATGGAAAGCATCTTCTCTTTTATAGAGATATCTTAAACTGTAGAATAGTTTCCCAAGAACCATTAACGAAAGTCACATTCATCATCTTTTCTGAGTCAGCTAATCTCCCTGCTGCTTCGTTTCCCCTGTACCCATCCCCAGACTCTTGAAAGATATTCTCCTTTAATCCTCTATCCAGATGTTATTAGTTAGTGAGTGTTACGCATTAGTGACTGTGAGGAATGCTGGAAGGGATCCAATGAGCAGTCACACACATTTAAATGGGGTGGAACCAGTTTAGTTTTTATTATTTAAAAGACTAAAAAGCCTCCAGCTGTGTTCCCTCCACATGAATTTCATGTTCCAATTTGGCCTTCTAATATGCCTGTAAGGGTGAGTCATGGATTCTGCATGTGTGATGTGCTGCTGCAAATGATATTCTTTGCTTAATGAGCTAACAGAAATTTTGACTTCTCTGCTCCTGTATTTAACATTTATGCTGCACACGAGAAATCCCTGGGTGAATATTTTATAGCATTTAGAAAAGATGCCAGAAGTAAAGCAACACATGCAACCCTAATTTTGCCCTTTTTCTGCGAAGGCATCTTGGTCCAACCATTGATGAGTATTTTGCACATATATTATTTTCTCTCTCCCTCCCTAAGGATCCTTGCCTCATTCTGTGTGTAGAACACTGAATTAATGTGCCTCAGTATTCCAGTTTATCTGCATTTCCCAGTGGGGACCCAGAGCCTTACTGTCCATGCAATATATCAGTCTCTGCTCTGAAAATACATGTGCATATTTTTTAGAATAGTCCTTTTCACAACTCGTATGCTTCACAAATACCCACTAAGTTTTTTTCACAGCATTTCTCAGAGATAACAGACTGTTATCAACTACACTGAGATCTGAGTGCTATCGCTGAAGATCAAAGGAGATCAGACTAATCTGGAAGACCAACTTGACATTTTTAAAATGGAACTTTCACATTATTAAAGATTATATGTCGTTTAATATGTTCAAAAGCAAATCCCCTGCCCAGCAATTCTGATTTAGGTCTGTCAGTGTCCTTTCAACGTAGATCTTTTCATGTAGTGGCATTAGTAAAATTTGGTGGTTTTGTTTTTACTAGGCTAACACCCACATGAGTTTTTATCAGGATTGGAACCTTTACATTTACTGCACCAGCTTCTCTCCCTCTCATGTCAGAGAGAGTAAAAGCAGCAGAAAATGGTCACAAATGAAAAAAATCCAACCTACAGTGACAGTTTTCGGTTCTCTGCTTTGCTCCCACTAGGTATGCGACTAAATACACTGTAAGAACTTGCAACAAGAAGTTGCAACAAGATGGTACTCTAAGGAAACAAGCACTGCAGAAGGAAAAGAAACATATTTGATCTTTGAGTGCCATACATTTTGGCTGACAACAAAGGAAATGAGCTGAACTGCAGCAAGTTCATCTGTAATGAGCATGTATGAGCTGAGAAGTTGTTTTTTTTTTTTTTCCCAAGTGCATAAAACTCTGCCAAATCCAAAAGAAGGAACAAAATCAACTGACACTGCAATGTTTCAGCTTTGACCAAAAAGGTAACTAAAATAAAGGAGGTTTTAGCCTTCTTCACTGAGATAGCTGAACCATTTCTGTTGCATTTTTCAAGACAAGAAAATGTCAGGCTGAATAAGAGAGGCTTTAGGAAAAATTCATTCCGAAGAATTGAAAATTGGAAGAAGTAAAAATGAATGAAAACAGAGAAATGCTAACTACAGCCAACCCTAACAATTTATATTACAGTTGACCTTAAAGGTCCCTTCCAACCCAAACCATTCTATGATTTGGTGATACTATCTTTGATGCTATGTGGCACATCCCACTGTGCCTGACAACCTACTGGCAGCGCTAGTCTGCATGGCGTGACTTTGTGAACCTGTTCCAATTCACTCCCCTAAGGAACTTTGTAAAGAAACTCAGCCCACAAACAGGTAGCCAAAATGATGCTGTCAGAAAAGCCTTTCTCTGAATGCCACATCTTTCCTTCCAACACAGAAAGGGCCAAGTTTAGCCATTAGCTGTATTCATGCAGGCTTCCGTTGGTAACGCTCGGACATTTTCTTGAAGTTACATGTCACGCATACTGCTAAAAAATTTCAAGGCAGTTCATATAAAAGTGTCAGAAGAACTATTTTCTGTCTTTTTTAGGTTGTTCTATGAATAATATTTAAGCATATTCTCATAGATAAAACTAGCACCAAGTCGACCTGGTACAGACTTTTTAAAGTTGTTGAGCACCTTCATTCCGACACCAGTTTTCCAGTACTGAACAGGTCTGTCGCTGTAAAATTCTCATTTGCAAAATCAAAATGAGAAGAATTTAAAGTTTTGCCTCAGAATTTCCAGTCCCATAGAAAAGCACTGATGGCAATCTGGGTTGAGGGAGAGTTTAGAGTGCAGCTCTGAGCTGCCTTTCTGTGGATCTTCCTTAAGCTAAAACTCTACCAATAGTCACCAGAGAACAGAAGGCTATCATTACAAGAAACTGTCACAGTCATCTCCCTGATAGAAGTCTGCCCTTTTTCTCATATCAGCTCTCCCTGTGTCACCTACACATATGCACAGGTAAAATGAAATGTGCCACAGCTGTATTATCAGACTACTTTAAGCATTCATATCTTTCAAGATTTTTCCATCAGTACACTGAACTGGGTTGAATTTTTCCTACCACTCCTTGTTAGGGAAATAGAGAGTCAGCAAGTAAAAACAAAACTAAACTGAACAAAATGTATTCTGGAATGAATACAACTTCTTTCCTTTCACAGACAACTATTGCAGTTCTGCTGTGGCATTGTTATATCTGCTGCCTAGGGACAAAAGCCTCTCTTTCATGCTTTCTATTTCTGTTGACTACATTTTATTGTCTTTGCCTGCCTTTCTATTTATTGAGCCTAAGAGTATGGTTGTTTCCTGTTAGCATATTCTATTTTGCAAATTTTTAGAGATGTTCAGGCACGTTCCAGGTGACAAATAATGAAGAGTTACAATAACTGACTCAAAAAGTTGCTCTTAGCCTCTCATGATGATTCTCTATAAATTCTACCCATATAGGAATGCTGACTCTATTGCTCCCATGAATGTGAAGAAGGGGCACAGAGGAAATCCCAATGGAGGGTAGCTTCAAGAAGAACAGAATATCACAGCCTCGTTTTCAAGGCTTGGAGTAGGACTCAGTGTCCTCATTTCTATTCTCAGCCACATCTCAGACTCAGGCTGTGAAGCCCCTTGGTGAATCAGTTGCTTTATTTAAGCTTCAATTTTCTTTCTGCAAAAGAGAGGTGAAAATACTTACCAGCTGCACAGAGTTTGCAAAGTGCTTTGGCATTCTAGGGACAGAGCAGATTCAAAGAATGATGCTTTGTAATGGACCATTGGATAAGACCCAAAGGATGCCAGTAAACACTACATGTATACTACTCATGGCACTTAAACTGTCAAATGGTTACTTCACCATGGGGCTTAAAAAGCCATAGACTCTGTGAAGTTATTCTAACCAATCAGTACTCTAGTAGGAGATTCCCTCTTAAAAAGCCCTTGGTTAAAGGCACACGCTAACCTCAAAACAGGAAACTTTCTGTAAGTTCCAAGAAGAAGCAATGTTCAACTCACAATTACTAAAGAACTATATTAGAAAGTGAAAAAATGGTTATGCAGAGGAGAAAACAACGTTACTGTATGTTCACTGTAAAAGATATCTTCATACTTACTTCACATACTTGCAATGAGTTACCTGGTTTGCATTTTCAGTGAAGGATTAGCAATCTATGACAATAAGAAAGTGTACAGAAAAGTGTTCTGTAGACGAGACCTAAGAAGAAGAGCCTGATTTTTTTTTTTTTTTTTTAAATCATCCTTGTTTGTGTGCTTGCAGTGATAAATTACTTCACATTCATTTTTAAATTCTGGGCCTACAAAGCTGACACTGAACATCAGGTACAAGTTTTCATTCTGATGAAAAAAATTAAGCATGACCATACATAACAAGAGCCCTGACACTGCTGAGTATCTGAATGCAGATATTAATGGCCCACCTACTCCTGCTGGTCTGGTAGTTTTTGGTGATGCTCGTTTCGGGGAAGATTCAGGATGTGGGGCAACAGGTTGTACTGGTCGGGTCTGTTTGGCTGCTAGCTTCTTCAGACTCACTTGCCTCTTGTCAAACATTTCTTGTACATCTTCTAGTTTTTGTAAAATCCTTTGGGCATTGGCCTAGGCAAAGAACAGATGATTGTAAGTGCTGGACTAAACAAAAAAAGATGAGACTTGGGTTAGTCAGACTCGGTGTATTAGAGCTAAAGATAATGCAACCCAGCCCACGTAATTTGCATAGATCTGTTTCACCAAGTAGGGCATCGTGAGTCATGGAATTTTCTGCCACTACCCTGAAGAAGTATGTGCTATTCTAGAACTGCTCATATGAGTAAAACCTCTTGTCCCAAGTGCTCACCTCTGTGCCCTTTTGCTGTGGGGAAAGAGGCATATTTGTGCAGACTCATATAGGGCCCAATAGTCTCTCATGTGCAAGACAATCACTGTTTAGTGAGTGCATACATGTTTGAGGTGTTCTACCTTTATTTCGGGTGTGAGAATCGTGTCAAACTGATTGTAGAACTCCTTTGGGTTAGAGAGTTGATGCTCCTTTGCTGTTGCCAAGAACTTCTCTATTTCAACGAGTGCAGTTTCAGCTCCCTCTTGTGACTGGCACTTGTCCACAGCTTGGGAAGCTAAGAGGTAGATTCCAGCTTCACACCATTGGCTTGCCTTTAAAGAAAAATGGGACAGTAGGGACTCCATTGTCACTGAACGCCCATGTTGAGAAGTGCCATTTCTACCACCCCATGAAATACAGATTGGCACTAATGCATCACTAAAGGGAATTAATGTTGCTTCCTCACATGCAGCAGGTCCTGTCCACAACACATCCCACCTAAGAGACACAGAACACTAGCAAATTAAATTCACCTCTATGGGATAGATGGTTCAGTAACACAAAATAATATTCTGAGCAATAAGAATGCTACTGTAGTTGCTGCAAATCAAATCTTTCTGCTATACAACCTCATTTCAGTGTTTAATTACACAATTATCCAAACCCAAAAATAAATATTTAAGCTATATAAAAATTCTTTAAAACTTCACAGGCCCATTAAACTCAGTTAAAAACACTCCAAAGCAGGTTTTCAGAATAATTTCTGGTAATTCCTTTAAGGAATTACCATGCAGACATTCTCAGAGCATTTAGCTTTCTATTCCAGATGGATTCTATAAACTGAAAAACAAAAGAACAAGCAGTAAGCTATTTATTTTTCAGCATCAGAATGTGTTTGTTTCTCATTTCAAATTTAGCTCTATCTCAATTCTTTTTTAGTTTCATACTTTAATGATCTTAAGACAATAATTATAGGAAGCATCTGTTATGGTTTTTATAGCAATGGTTTCTGAATGAAATGGAGAGAAAAAAAAAGAGTCAATCTTTGTCCTCTTCATCTAAGTTGCTTATAAAGTAAGTGCTTATAAAGTAAATGCTAAGTTGCTTATAAAAAGATTTATTTTCAGTAGAGCCTTCAGTAGGGCCGTACTCTAAAAAGACTCACTCACCTTATCTAATTGCTTATGCAGCTCAAGAGACTTCCCCAAAATATCGTATTTCTTCTTGGTCTCATTAGTAAAGTCATCACAAATACGCCTGAGTTCAACACACTTTGGTCTAATGGAGTCAACTGCATAATGGTTGTTTTGGATGAGCTGTTCTCCATGGAGAGCTAGAGTCTGGGCTTTCTCCAAAGGTTCCTGTTAAATTAAAGAGAATCAATTCATAGTTACATCTCAAAAGATGTGTAGGTAAAGGCAATGCACCTCTGTAACTCATGCTGTAGCCTGGAGCTAACAGTTTGGGATATTCAAGTAGCTGATGTGTTTTCAAATTTGCACTGAAGACCAATTTAATCACTAGCATTATTTTTCTACTGTTCATTCTGCCTCCACAGACTGCATTCAGAGATGAGTACCTAAACAGCCTTAAAATCATACAGAGCATACATCTACACAAAAATATTCCATCGCATGCTTAATCCAAGTTGAGAGTTAGTAAAGCAGCACAGCACAGAGGATGAACCGGAGCGAAGCCCTACGATGAGTCACATTATGTCAGGCTGTGTGGGCTGAGCTCGTATCTGAAGAGCTTTGGATTACAAATTCTCTGAGGAGCGGGCATCTTCACAGAGGAGCAGAACGTAACAGGCATGTGTGGCAACTTTTAAAACCACAGCTCATAAATGTGAAGTTTCCTAGCCTTTTCCAGGGCAAAGTCAATCAGAATGAGTTTAAACAATTTGTGGTACTGAAATATTTTCTCTCCTCAGCTATTAGTTATCAGCTCCTTGCTGAATACTTTTAAATATAAATGGACTTCTTCCATTTCATAGAAAAAATTCAAACAACATCAGCTATTGTTGGTTATTTGCTTCATCTGAGTACAGTGTTGTTTACAACTACTGGATTTGAACAACCTCGGATTCTGGAAATTAGGATCTGAATTTTGCAATTAGAAATAGTGACCCATGAAAAGAGTGTGTGATGTAAGGACAGTGACAGAAAAACATCTAGATAATCATGTCTGGATGCTAGAACACTATATTGAACACAAACCTGTCCTTTTTCTTCCAGTTGTTTCTGTTCCCTTAGGAGGTGTTCTACTCGAGTCACACTGTCTCCAACGTCAGAAAAGCCTGCTTGTGCTTCCATGAGATTATCCAATGTTAATTTTACCTAAAACAAAAGTAAAAAAAAAAAAAAAGAACAACAAAGCATACACATCACAAGACACCCAAAATTATAACAAATCTATGACTTCTAAACATTCACTTCCATCTTTTACAGGAGTCCATAAATCTCAAATTTAGTATTTCAATTCCTTTCAAAATGGTAAAACTGAAGAATGAGGAACCAAGCAAGTAATTATTTAAAGAGTCGCCCCCATTTTTTGGATTTATTTAGGCCCAAACAGTTCTGAAGATCTATGACTCTGCAATCTGTCTTACTGTATTATTCCACCCTTTGCATTCATGGCTGGGCTTTCTATTTTTGTTTTCCACTAATTTAGTAGGGTTGTGTGCTTAGCATCACAGAAGAAATGATACTTGCTAACATCACACATAAGCACACAATGATTTATCACAAAGTTTGTGTTTCACATCTTGGCTTACATGGCTGGCACTTTCTTCACTGTGCTTTACTGAAATGTTGTAAAAAATTAGATTATTACCAAGAATTTCACTTTTGATATGCATTTTATTTTATAATGAATGGCTCCTCTCCCCAGCTCTTTTTTAGAATGCCGTTTTACTTGAAGTAAGGGCAAGGTTTGACCATATTTGCTGAACGCTAGATACGACCAGCCAATGACTTACTTCTCTAAAATCATGTTCAAAGTGTCGAAGCTGCAAGCATTGTTCTAGTTTTAGGTGATGCTTGGTCCAAAACTGATCAAAAGCCTTTTCTGTTTCATCCAACTGAGCCAACAACCTATTAAGAAATTAGAATAAAAGACAGTTATTTTCTATGGTTAATTTCTTTGAACTTGCATCAATTGATGGCAAAAAGCACAGTTTGGAGATGGTGGTAAGCCTATACCTATAGAAGATGTAGAACAATGTTTGATGTCAATTTTCCCCTGAGAAAAAGGGAACAAAAACTGCAGTAGAATAGACAAGAGTGTGGTGATGACAGATAACTATATGGATTTACTGTGGCACTCGTAGTCCCTCCTCCTGACCTGCAGCAGGAATACACACCTGCTCCATGTGCTGGCAGCCAGGGACAGCTGTCTCTCCCCAGCTTCCACCTAAACACTCAAAGATAATTAGCTCCAGGCTAATACAGATTGAATACAATGCAATTGTTAATTTACGGAATGCTTAAAGCAGAATTCTACAAGTTGCTTATTTTTTTCACCCATCAGAAGTAGGCAACAACTGAATCATTTTTCCTTGTACATCTCTCCTAAGCACAATGAATTAGAAGCTCATAATGCCTCCCATTGATAATGTTTTACTTCATGTAAATAATAAAACATTTATTCACAAAGAAATCAGTATCAAGTGAAGTGTCCAACAGCACACCAGTGAGTCATTCTCACAGTCCCTCAATGATCTATTATGTATATTACAAAAGTAGAACAGTTTAAATAGCAAGAGAAAAGGGAAAAAATGAAAAAATGAAAAAATATTCTTCTCTGAATATCCTATTTTTTAATATCTGGCCACCCTTCAGGCAGGCAGGGGACCAGGCAAATGCAGTGAATGCTAGAACCAAGTAATCAGGGCAAATACCAATAGCTGACACTGTTCCTGACACTGTAGTCAGAAACAAGTTCTGTTCTCAATCCATCAACAAAAAATCTCATTCTAATCAAAGCTACTTTTTGAATCCAAGATGAATTTACAAATTCCTTCATTAATTAAAGGAAGACTGATTAAAGGATTTCAAAGTAGCCAGTAAAAAATATCAGTTTGACATTTGGCAGCTTTGTTCTCATTGAATGCAGACACACTGAAACTAGCATGACATTTCTCTATCTACTGCATTACATGGAACAGCAGAAACTTGTAAGCAGTGACTAAAATCTGTAATAACCAGCATTGTAGGAAGGAACAGTAATTACTCTCTTTATAAATCTGCAAAGGTGCATATTTCAGAGTATCATCTACATCTGATCCTCCTCCAGTGTTTCCACAGACATGCACAAGCACATACTCTTTCAGATCACACGGATTCAGATGTCACGTTTTAACTAGGCACAGAAACATGGAAGATGTTATGGGGAAAATAAGTCCCACATCAAACCTTCCATTGGGAAGGTAGTGGGCCAACCAAAAATTACCACGAAATTCAGGACTTGTTTGAACATACTTTTCTAGTTTAATCCAGTAACTTCCTCAAAGTCCTACTTATTTATGTATCCAATAAACCCTGAGTAACTAAACAGTGGGAATTTATAGTATCTATATTCGAATAATTTAAGAAAGGACATAAATGACATTTGCATTTCTTAGGAACTAATTAGCAACTTGTGCAAGGTAGTCAATCTTCACCAACCTTTCCACTGTTGCCACATTTTCCAGTTCATCAGGACTGAGTTTGCTGTTGGCACTTCGGGTGACTGGCTCCCTAATGCACGTCAGTAATGTGGCCCCCTGCTTCACAGCTAGTTTCAGCTCATCCTGAGGAACAAACAAATTGTATGCACATATTCTAAGAACGCTCCCATCTCTTGGGTGGACAACACAGTAATGCTAAAGGAGGATACTTCTGTAGGTAGCAGATACTAGGAACAAAAACACAGTGCTTACCAATAATGACATGTCTTTCTATGAATGCAGAGAATAAACCTGTTCATTTTGAGCAGTAGATATATTTCTGAGAAAAAGAATATTGCATAATTTCTGAGCATATTGCATTTCTGACCAGGAAACTTTCAGAATAAAATATTCTAACACGAATTACATGTGCTGTCAATTGTTCAGCCAGCCACATCACACTTCTTAATGGAATTTCTTTAAACAACATTATGAGATGATAAGCCACAGCTTGCCAATTGAAAGGAGACCATGAGAGGAGAAAAAGACAGCGAAGAGCAGATTCATTGGTTCTGCAAGTCAGCAAAAAATTCATTTTCTCACAACTGAATCCTTCACACAGATTTTCTATTAACATATTTGCTTCTTCTACATTGCTTTGAGTGGCAAAGCCCCCAAGACACCAGTATAGAAACACTTATTAAAAGCTTTCTTCAGGAACCCTTCCTGCTGCTAACAAGGCTGCACAGCTCTCCCACTGAGGGAAGATTAACAAGGGTGCCTTTTGCCATTGTATTACCTGCACTGTTCTGCCAGCTTTTATGGGGAAGAGTAGCAAAGACATAGCCAAAGAGCTAGGGGATGCTTTATGCAGCAGCTTTAGAGCTGCAGAAGAAGCTTTAGAGTGTGAGGAAAGTTACAATAAAAATGTAATCAAAGAGAAAACTGGCATTAAGAGCCAGGCTCCAACATATGGGAGAAACCATTATCTTTTGACCAAAAGCAATTGAGGCAAGGCAGTTCCTGACTGCCTGAAGAATTCTGAGTATTCTTTCTTTGGTACCCAGCAAAAGTGCTGTAAGAGCTTTTCACAAGTCATGGCAATTCCTTAGGTTCTGACGGCAATTATTAGAAAGAATCGGAACGGCTGCAAGTCCTGCTGTTTAACACAACAGTAACACATGGCTGGGACAGAACTGCTACTAAAGGCAACTTCAGCGATCATTACAAAAAGCCATTTCAATGCCATCCCAAACTAAAAAAAAGTTGTTTACTATCCTTCTTCTATAGGAGGAAAGCTCCAGGCCCTTACTGTTTTTTATGGGTAGAACTCTGTTCTTCATTCCCAATTGAAGCAAAGGTCATTTCTGTACTTGTGCTAAAACAATAAATTTCCTTTTGTGTTTAACCTAATATGTTTATTGACAGCAATAACATTTTCTTTTGAATCTTACTCTGCAAGGCTAAACAGGCACTAGCCTCTTTTTAATGCTTTTAATCCATTCTGTAATATTTTAGTCATCAATTAAACAGACCACTATCTATTCCTAGATTATCCTTACAGATGTTCTCTACATCTGCTCCAGTATGAGTTCATCCTTTCTGACGAAAACATCATCAGGAGCCCATGCTGTTCTAGTTGTGATCTCATTATACCCTCCTATATAGCAGCAGTGACACTTCCCTGTTCTATCATTCCTGAACCTGTGGAGTCCTTTTCCATAGCTGCACGGAATCAACTTCCTGAATCCAGTTTTCTTCTCCTATTCAGTAGTTTTGAGATGATAGAATCTCAAATGATGGCAGAAAAACTTGTTGAATTAAAAACATATATTACACAGATTGAGTTGTCACAAGACACCATTCACCTTGAGCTTGCTATGGTGGTCAGTGTGTGCAGATAGGAGCTCCTCTGTGCACTGCACATCATTGGGAAGTTCAGTCTCTGCTAAGTCCGTTCCAAAGGTCTGTAGCATCTGTGCTGTTGTTTTCACTGTCATTGCGAAGTTTTCAATAGCCTGGAATGGTGGAAGAACAGAGTCACGAACTGCTTACTTACCACATAGCATGCTATCTCAGTTCTTCAAACACATTATTGCTGCAGTGCCTGTAAAGCTGGCTATTTGCCTTTTTTCAGCGGATGTGATGGAAGTTACTGGTTGAATCCTGTGCCACAAAGGATCTTTTCACAAGACTACAGGTTTTACCGTATCCATGAACCAGATGGGGAACTTCCAGAGCTTAAGAGACATAATGAAACCACAGAGGACATCAGCTTCAAAGCCCAGATGGGAGTTTCAGATCCTTTGCCCATGCTTGCTGGAACTCTTTGTTGTGTTTAAGGATTTTAATTAAGGCTTTATTTAAGTTAAGGAGATGCCACAAGCACATACGCCAAAGCCTTTTTCTTTTATGTTTATACAGCCACTGTTCACTCAGCAGCAATCCATCTCCCTGTAGGCTTCTCAAACTGTGCATCTTTGTTCTGCCTACCTGTATGTGATGCATTCCAGTCACTTCATCCCATCTGGCCCCATCTGAACTCTCAACAAATGTAATTCATCAAATTCATTGGAGCATCACTTCTTTACAGACTCACAGAATGGCCAGGATTGGAAGGGATCTCAAGGATCACGAATCTCCAAACCCCCCTGCCACAGGCAGGGCCACCAACCCCCCATTTAGTACTAGACCAGGCTGCCCAGGGCCCCACCCAATCTGGCCTTGAACACCTTTAACAGGGGTGCACCAACTTAAATTTTGACAAATTGTGGTTTTATTGCAGAAAGTGAAAGTGAGAAAGGCTTCATAAGAATGCTGCCTTTTCAGAGTAGAATATACTGGTCAGACTTATGAGATGCAACCAAAACCTTTGTATCTTGTAGCAAGAGCTGCACAGGATATTTTTTTGTGATCGTGCCCCAGTTTCTCTAGGATAATCAAAGACTGTACTGTTACACGTAGGTCTTTATTCATTACATTTTTTTATCAGAACAAAACAATGTTCTGAGGCACAAAATAGCACTAAAGATGTTCTTATTCCCAATCAAATGTTACATAGCTATTGCAAGCTGTATTCCCTTTTTTAGCAATGATCGGAATTCCTAATTTGCAACTACTTCAGTCGAACATTTGCAGTGTGCTCTGTGAAAAACAAACTGAAGGTAGATTATTATTCAAAAGTGATAAAGTACATTCCACTTTATGTGATCATAAAGCATGCCCCAGATGAGGCAATGCTAGGCAAGTTCATAGCCTTCGTCTTTGCCCCTTGAAAATTCATGTCTGTTTTCAGCAGCAGCAGTATAGACTGATGTACGATCTGGCTCAGTTCTTAGCAGCTGTGACATGTTCTCTGCAGTGAAACTACTGCATTAAAGTTGGCTAAGATGCTGCCCTTCTGACTGCAACACAGACAAAGCCATCCATAATCAAGGGCTATTTACTAAGAGACTAGCGTACTCTCTGAGCAAGAAAGCTCACAGACTCCTAGCTGTTTAAGATAAGAAAGCAGAAACAAAGAAAAATGTGGTGAGATTGTTGAGTCAATACCATTTAGGAACACTTTAAAAATGTTTTAGATAAAAATATAAAAATAATAAAAAATAAAAGAAGAAAACAGAAAAAAAAAAAAATCCACAACCCTGGTAGGCAAGATTTGGCAGACCAAGACCAGAGAACACTAAGATAAGCAGACAGTGTGATGAAGACACTGCACCTGCACAACTGAAGGTCAGGCTTTCTCAAGCTGCCACATAGGCCAACACTTCCTTGATGGCAATCTCTCACCCAGCAGAGATTCCCTGGCTAACTGATTCCACAAGCACCGTGAGCACATCAGTGTTTCATTTAGTTGCACACATGGCTCCACTCATTCTTGTGTGTTTGAGTAATAAATTGTTTCATATTCCCAAGTTCTGACTGTGGTTTTGTCTTCAAGTCTCTAAGCTCGGTGAAAGTTGTTTAGACTACTTCCAAGCTACCACAGAAAAGCCTTTTCTGAATGTTAGACCTAGCTGCAGGTCAGCAACAATACTTACAGCCAAGGCTTCTCAGAACACAGCAAAACATTGGGCCTCCTTAGATGTGAGCTCTAAACATATCAGTTTTGCAAGTGGACCCACAAAGACAGATGGAAACATTGCACACAGCCTCGGGAAAATTTGTTCATCTTCTAGGACACAGCTTTGCAGCCCTCCACTTAGATGGAATAGTGGAATAAATAAATAATAATAAAATAAAGGAATAGACAACACTTCAGCAGTTTACATGCCAAAGTCTGGGGTCTGCTTTTTTTTTTTAAATATCGTAATATGGCTCTTCTGTGAGCCACAATGAAATGTTTGCACTGTTTCGAAGCAGCCACTGAAATATATTAACCAACCCCAAAAGGGAACAAATAATCAAACTTGTAACAAGTTTCTTAAAAGGCAACAGAAGAGAAAGTTTTCCAGCCTTCCTACAATTATTAATTGTTCTTGAGTTATTCAAAATATGATTCATCTGGAGTGTATATTTACATTACTCAGAAATGAAAACAAAGGGAAATAAAATCCAGTGTTATGAGTATTTTTCTTCACTTAAAAACATGGATACAATTGCCCATTAACGTGACAGTCTTGACCTTTCATTCCGAACAGTGCTAAAGCATATGTCCAACTGCACCATGAGCTGAAGGCCTATGAATCTCATCAATTATTCAAAAGCTAAGGATGAGGGAAGTTCAGCTGAGTAATAATAATACAACATTGTAGGACCTAGTCCAGTCAATAGTGAGATATAAACTACTACTTCTACTACAGACTTTGAGGGAATTTTCTCTGAGTAATGGATCTCCTCTTTCCATGAGCCTCTAGTAAAATCTGTAGGCTGAAGTGCAGCTGCAGAATTTCTACTTAATTGTTGCTTTACATTCATCATCTGGGTATAGGTATAGTCATGTGTGAGAACAGCACCAGCACTCACAGTTCGGTGATGTATCCACTGACTGTGGCCGTACTCCAGGGTTCCTCCCAGCTCCCGGGTCAGCTGACATTTATCAATATAGCCGTGAAGATCAGAGACAGAATTTAGCATGATGATCTGAAACAGACCCAAAAACAATGGACAGAGAGAAATAATGAGTCCTTCAGTCACTGCTCCTAGGATCTGGGTTTGCCTTAAACACACATAACCACGGTGCACTTCCACCATTGTCAGTAATTTCTCATAATGTATTTCTTCGTATAATTGCCACAGCTTTTTTTCCTTTAGATTCTGGCTTCTATAAGCAGATGGCCATTCTTGAACTACCCATGATTTGATATCATGTTGCCCCTTGCTAGGCCAAGGAAGCAGCCATTTTCTTTATGCCTGAAAAGCAAAAGCATGGGATGTATAATGCTCACATAAAATTCTATCAAAAGAACTCTTAGTTTTTGTAAGACTGCTCTCCAAGACATACGTGGACATACCCAGGTTAGCTCAAAATTCTGAATGTCCAAAAAGACTTCAACCAAAATACGTATCTTGATCTGCATGTAGGAAAGGTAAGTCATTGTTTAACACGTAATGCAGTGCCTAATCCCTGCCTACCATTAACCTCTGTTCCAACTGTGACAGTTTTAAATAGGATTTGAAATGCAACACCATCATCAAATAGATTGCTAGAAGTACAATCTCTGGTATAACAGTTGCTAAGGTAACACACCATGGCTTATTTAGTACAGGAACATACATTTTCTAAAGTGCTATAAAATTAGAAGATTTTGTTTTGTAACCAAGCATAATTTTTACATGAAATTTGCTTTTTTAATAACCAAAAAGCCACCTGTACTGAACTACAGTCAGTGTCACAATTAACATAATTTAGCACAATGAACTCATGCTTTGTTTTCTGTACTGTTAGACTGCTGTCTCTTATTACAGTAGAAGCAGGAAGCACAGGAACTTTAAACCTAGGTACTGATAAACATAGCAATGATTGGAACGGAACCATGGGTCTTTTGTAAAATGATTTAAAACCACAGTTAATATCCAAAACAATCATATGAAATCACTCCAGTAAAATCATTGTGGAGCACAGTACGAGTAAGTTCCAGGATGAAATATCATTAACAATCATCATTCAATTTTATTTATAAAACAGTTTGAAACCACAGGCAAACACACAGCTAGGAACAACTCCAAAAAGGGCTCTCATAGAATAATGCCAAACTCTTTCAGGATTTATAGCCTGCTTTAAATCACATTCTCATCAACCTGCAGCATATTAGAAGTACTAAATATCATACTCTTAATCTTGAAGATCATAAAGGCACTAGAAACAAGCAATGCCAGCAGGCACTTAACAGGGCACTATTAAATTATCAGCAGTCCATAGTGCAGAATTCGCCCTTGGCTTACACTGCTCTGGAGTGCAAACCTATGTTTGTGTGGAGTGAGCAGGTCTACCTTTGCGTCAAGGGAGCAGCTCTACTGAGTTAAATGTCACTATGTAAACTGAGTCACATTTTATAGCTAGACTGATGTTTCACATGGGAACACATCCATTATAATCCTGTGAGGCATCTACAGGTAATTTACTCTTTGGCATTCCTGCAACTGATTGTAGAAAATTCCACAAAAACAATTTAAAGATACTATTAGTATAGATACAAAAATGTCTGCCCTTTCCAAGGATGTTTCAACCACTGAAATGAAACAAGAAACAACTTATCTGATCCAGGTAAATGTGTCTACGTGCCTCTCAAAGCTTGTTGATCTCACTGGGGTTTCAGTTTAGGCTTTACTGACCTTATATACACCACACAGACCCAAGATCACAGTCGCCAGTTGCCACTTGCAATCAAATTATAATTATTCGGTTATGAGAAATTGCTGACATATAAGAGCTGAAGATGTGGAGATAAGGCAAACACATGGACCAAAAAAATCCATGCTTACCGGTACCTTCATTTTAAAGTCATCTCGATAGAGTTTAATGCCAATGTCAGCAATTGCCCTTTGGATAAAGCGTGAGGGACGCAGGACAAACACCAGCTGCAGGTTTCCTGGAAATGCTCCCTGCAAGAAACATAAAATTATTAGAAAGCAAATCTCTGCCTTGAAGAAAGGCCAAGGGAATTTTCAGCCAAGTGTTTCCTAAGGGAGTAAAGTGGGGAAGACACTCTGAACCTTGGCCAGTCCAGCTGCTAATGACATCAACTGGTCCATTCAGCACATGTCCAACGTCAGCCTCCAAAGCCAACAGAAACACTGGCCTGGGGATTTTACTGCCCCGTCATATATAGATTTCTGGCAGGGATTTAGCACAGAGCTCTGAAGTTTCTTCACTTGTGCAGCCATATCAGAAACGCACGAAGGCCCCTTTGCACTACCACACCATGGGTCACGTTTTTTATTTTATTTATTTTATTTTTTGGTTCAGCCTTTCGAGGGTAAAATTCACTACTTACAAAAAATGGCTGCCCACATTGGACATGGTGAAAGAAAAAGGTGGCATAAATGAATTCTTCAGACTGACCTATCTATTCACTCCAAAGAGGATTTTTAATCTTTCTAACCTCACATGTGTTTCTCCCACGCACAGGCATTCAACACATTCATCAGACATGGCCCTGCCTTCAACATCCAGCCTACATATCCCACACACTCCTCCTCTGAGCTCATCAAGCATAAAAAAAGAACAAGAAGAGGGCAGCTAAAAAACAACAGTCACCTCTTGATCCCTAGCCTCTAAGCACCTGCACCTCACACAGTATATGTTCCAGATAATAGAACAGCTGCGTTTATTACTGCTGAAAAATAGTGTCTTAACTCACTTTCATAAACGAGATATAACAAGCTATTGATAGTTTCTAACAGATCACTACCACATGAACACACATTTACTGGGATCTGCTCCCTTCACAAGCGGGCCGCAAAGTCACTCCTCACAATGCACAGAAGGGCTCCTCTGTTAGACTCTTCTGGAAACAGCTACAAATTACTAGAATACATACTGCAGTCAATCCAGCACATACGGAATCTGTGCTAATTCAGCAGTAAACAAGGCCATGTTTTCTGTTACTGCAGCTTCCTCCCTCTCCTATTTAAAACTCAAAAGCTTTGGGGCTGGAGAGAATCTGCATCCACAGCCAAAAAAAAAAAAAAGAAAAGGAACTAAAAATGCACACATGGGACTTCATCTTGTCCTGAAGGTTCAGCAGACAATTTGAATTTCTAGAAGATAAATAACAAAGACAGGCACTTACTGCTATCCGTGTCAGGGATGCCTTGACTGCACTCCATTTGTCTCGTCGTCTGTCTATGATGATGATGAATCCAATGCTGGCAGCCTCCAGACTGCACAACAGAAGAAATAAATATGCTAGGTTACATGAAGATACTCCCATTTCAATGCAATGTACTGCAGTAAGATTCAGGTCTGTTGGATCATCCTCCAAGTCCATTATAAAAATGCAGTGTACAGTGGAGAGAATATTCGGCAGAAATCCACATGAACACAGAAGCCAGCAAATTTTCTCTTTCCAATGTCAGGCTAGCAGCTTACACCAAACATGAATATTTTATTCGCTAAATCTCTCAGCTGCTATCCACTTTGCTGCCAAGTCCAAATGATAAGAATAGTTCAGGATCACAAATTATACTGTGCTACACTGAAGGCAAAAATCTCAGATCTTGCTTTCTCTCCAAATTAGACATCCCACTACAGCCTTCATTCTCCAAGTATGCTGATGTCTGACAGAGGCACTCAGCTCCATGGTGTCAGTATATCCCCACAGCCACCACCTTGCCTTCTCACACGACCCAGGTGTTTTGGTGGACAAAGCAGGATTTGAAGTTTTATATCTCACCGACCTGCAGACGGTTCTAGGGTTGCAAGTATCACTTCAATGTGTTGGCTAAAATAAGCTACTGCTCCTTCTCAGGACTTTTCAAGGAGGCTCTGTGAGGGACTGACTTCATGCTCCATCCCATGTGTGTAAACCTCAAAAATATCCCCCTCCCCCTCCCTCAGAAATCCCTCTCTGGTGTGCTGGACACAGGGGTGCTATTCTCTGCTTTCCAGTTGTCCTCAGAGTTGGAGAGAAATCCTGGGAATCTACAAAAACACTAAGAAAAATGTCCAGGAACTTCCTTATAACAATCATCTCTATACAAGAAAGAGGCAGGCAAAGAGTGTAAGTGTTGCCATAATCAGAAGACACTACAATTAAATATGTAATTATGGATTAAGGTCAAGATCAGTTATATAAAGCATTTCCTTTATCCCTTTTCCATCATACATACAAGCCACATACCAGGAACACCATTTTATTGGGTTATTTTGAGCAAACTCATGTCAATAATCCACCAAGGAGCATCAACAATATCACCAGAGCTTCTGCTGCAGATCTGCAGGATCAAAATCAGCAGCCAAGAAGCAAAAGTTCTGTGCAAGTCTGGGATGCCACGCAAGTGCTCCCAGTGGTTCTTAACAGCACTACAAACATTTGCTGAAGTGCACACTGATATATTTTTTACAGAATTCCTTTGGGAACTATAAAATTCAAAGACAATAGATGACCTTTCCTCTCAAGCAGTGCAATATGCAGCTCTTTACACAGAGAACAGAAAATGTAACTGCAGAAGTGCTTCTAAAGCAGAGATGATAATTCAGCAGCTTATTCCTTTTTATATATACAAATATTCTTCAGTAGACAAATTGGAGTTCTGAAGTTTAAAAAAAAAAGAAGTACAGTGTGATATATATGTGCTTGCTTTAGATTCTTAGACAAAAAAAAAAAAAAAAAAAGATTCAGAAGGTGGCACCAAAGAAATTTTGTGTATTGCAGATTGTTACAGAAAGGGTGTGAGAAACTATTCACAGCCTGGGAGTTTCCAATGCTACTTAAAAATTGCATTATTCTTTAACAAACGCTGATTGAGACCAAAAATTGCTTTGGACATCTGGAGGGTATGGAAGGCCCAGGCAAATCACCCTCAGCCCCCAGCCCGCCAGGCAGCACCTCTGGACAGGCTTCCCATCTCCCACTGGAGACTTGTGGAAGCTCCGGTTTTTCCCTCTGCCTCGACCGCCGATGTTGCTGTCTCATAGATAATGTTCCAGGAATTTTGGTTGTAACTCAAAAAATCAGCAAATTCTTTAAGAAGTTGAAAATCAAAAGCCTCAGGCAGAACCAAAGTGGGACGGGATGAACTTCACCCTTTACCAGCCTTTTATATTTTTGATAGCCGTGCCAATCTTTGAGGATCGTGTCAGGGTGAGAAGAACAGAAATTAATAGGATAATTTCAAATGAATCAATGGATCACCAAAATATGACCTCTACTGTAAAGTAAAAGAGAATGTATTACTGTAATCAGCACCTAATTAAGTCTTCACTGCTCAGACACACAGAATCAATTTGCAACTGCTGAATATCTCTCAGACAATAATTGGATGTATGAGCCAGGCTCAAATCTGAGGCAATTCCATTAAAGTCAGTGATTTACAGCAAAATGACCAACAAAATAAGCATATTTAGCTGAAGATAACAAAATGCTGATGTTGGTCTCAAGAAAAATATTATCCAGCTAAAGCATATTAATAAATACTAGAAAAAGCTGTTTATAAAATTCACAGCTAAGCCACAAGTAACTCTGTCCATAAGCACCAATTCACACAAGCTGCCTGCACATAGAAATTGCCCTGTTTTGCCCATCTGCCTGGTTTGAGAGACTGGCTAAGGGCTTTCTAAAAGGAATGTTTGCACACAGAGGGTTGCAGGCCTAGAAGAATTCAGAATCAGACCCTTACAATCACACCTTGGTAAGCAAACTGCAAAGGAAGTGACTGACAAGACAGCATCTGCCAAAGGCAACAACTGTGATTTAAACAAACACAGAAGTATTTGTGCCAAGTAAAACTTGCCTCTGTGTCTCTGAACTAACTCTTAGGTTTCATTTTTAACAGTCCCTCAAACACGTAGAGAATAAATCACTTAGAAGAGACACGTTTGTCTTTTCTCAAGTACCTTCCCATGATCTAGCAGTTCATTTTTTTGAATGTTCTTCTGCCACAGGGATTTGTAACAGCACAAAAGCATCCAGGCATCAGTTACAATAACAAAAATTAATTTCATAGATAAGAGCTTATGAAATATAGATACAGACAAGAAAATACAAGAGGAGCAGAAAAGGAATTTTCTCATGAAATGAGGCTTGGCAAGAACAGTCATAGGGGAGGGCTGGGGAATAATGAACATATAGGAATAGAAGCACTGCTCACCAGTTGCCACTGCAAATCACACAGCACTGCAGGTCAGTTAAAGAGACAGGCTGAGGAAATAGAAGGTGAAGCAGGTACTGATATACTGGATTTATTCTTGGGTTTAAATACAAGGAAATATCAAAGGAAAGCAGAACTATAACTTGTGTGCATGCTATAAAGATCACACGATCTAAAGGAGAGCAGATCACAGATGAAATGTGAGGGGTTGTCTACATCACCCAGGATCATTCTGGCAGACTGTATGTTGTAAATCCCAATGGCTACAGGTGGCTGATGCAACATGAAGAAGGTCCTGACAAGAGATGTACCTCTGAACACAAAAAAACCTGAAAATAGGCTTGTGAAGCTGGTACACAGCTGGACCTCAGCCTTCTGCAGTGCTTTTTTTTGTTTTTTGTTTTTGTTTTTTTGACTAGACAGGGCTGATTTAAGACCTAAGTTTAGCCAGGGAAACAGAGAGTGTCAGCAAGTGATCTTGTTTCAGTCAGCACACCGAAAAGAAAGGCCATGCCAAGGTCTGAATACTAAGGGATGCACACAAGCAAGTGGCTGAGGGACAGAACCTTGCCAAAATGGCAGCGTCAGTGCAAGCTGATGTCCAGCTGAGACCCCATTCACACACGTATCCAGAAAAAGGCAGTTTGCCTAAAAACACAGACACTGTCAATGATTTCTCAGTGACAGTACTGTAACACACGGCTGGCAAGTAAGGTCCCTTTCCCCGAATGAAATGTTTGTAATTCAGTAAGCTGCTCCATCCCCAGCTCTGAATTCAGGTTAGCCCTTGTACACCGATTTGAGAAGGCCCGAAGATGCCGAATTTCCTGACCTCTTTGGGAATGAGAGGAGAGCATCTGTTTATCAAAGCAGTCTGCTTTAGTTGGAAGAGAACGGAGTTCTGGCTGTAAAGTGAGCAAAAAAGGGCCTACTACAGATATCTACTATAAGCATCCACATATAGAGACATGTATTTGCATATGCCATACCATCCAATGTTTATGCCCTTTCTGTGGGGGACTCTCATGACCAGGTTTTGAAGTAGAAGGAAAATTGATAAGATTACAAAAGTCTCACGGGGCTGATCTGCCATCCTTGAAAGCAGTTCATATTTTAAAGCCTAGAAATGCTATGTTTGCTTACAGCAAAATACTGCATTATGCCACGGCTGAAAAAGCAAATTTACTCAGCAGCTTCAAAGACAAGGTAATGCCTGTGCATCCAAATAACAACACTTGTTATCCACCCTTATCTTTTTAATGTTTTGCCATTATGGGCTTTGAAGACCAGCCATTCCAGAGGAACTTAGGAAGTTACCAACTCACTGAATGATGTCATTTGTGACCACAGACCTTACCTGAACAATAAATCTTATTCTGCAGGATACAGAGATGCAGACACTACAAAAGACAAATATTCTCTCTAGAGCTGTCTGAAAAACTACACCAATTTCTCTGGCTTATGGAGCTATCAACATGGAACTACCTTCTACCCTAAACGAGGGGAACTGCTCTTCAAATGATACTTCATCCTACCTGATTTATGACCATACCCTCTGTAACTCTTCTAGAGTTTGACACTATTCTCTAACCTTTATCCTGTTATTTGATACTTAAACATCCTCCTGAAGAATAAAACAAAATGTGAAGTACTAGCAGCAAGATCACATGCACCAGAAAGCTGTCACAGTACACATCATACAGTAGCATTGAATAAAGTAACAAATGTAGTCCCTTTGCAGCCTGCTGAGATGAAGGAAGGACTCACTCTCTGTGCATGTATCAACCAACTGCAGATTAACAAAGCTGTGCTGCACCCAAACAGGTTCACTATTTATGCACACGAAGATTTGAGTTCTTAGAACTATGCCATAAGTCACCCAACCAAAGCTTGCCACTCAGGTTCTTCCTCTTCTAAATTAATACCTTCATCCCTCAATTCTACACAAAAGATGACAAGTTTCAAATAGAAAATAAAGAAATGTACAGTCAATCTTTCTAAATGCACTACAACAAAAACCAGAAAACCCCTTGGATAACTGGTGTGATCCTGACTGTGTGATCTCTGATTGAACCTAAGAGGGAGATCAATGCTCTGTTACACAGAAAAGGTAGGTTCACATTCCAGCCTGTCGCTGACTCTGAACAGGTAATTCAAATCAAACTGATACTCACTTACTCAACACAAATTCTGGTGAGCTTGTCTGTAGTGTAAGATACTACCTGTGCATACCTTACCATCTAAAAATGGTGTCTTGCAGTTCTCATGACCTGTTAAGTCTTAAGAATTCATTCACTGCTCATTGCTTTGGTGTTCACCAGGTGATGTGGCTGAGGAAGCATGAAGTATTTCTGTCCATCAGGCTGACAATGTAATGCGTCACTTCTCCAAAATATGACGCTACTGGGAATCGCTGTAGCATATCAAATACAAAGAATCAGCAAACTAGCTACTATTGCTGCTTTATTAATCCCTGAAGATGGTGATCCAATTATAAAGCTAGTAAAGAAATAAAAGAGTTTCTCCTGATAGAACAAAGGACCTACAGAGTTCAGTGAAACAATGAAGCTGTTAAACTCACAGTGTGTGGTTTCTCTCAGCTTGCTTTGGCAACTCCATAGGAGAAACACATGTAGGTGGAGCTGGAAAACTTCTTACCTAAACTTGAAGGAGGCACGTTTTCCCCTCATCATCCTCTAAGCACCTTTATATATGAGACCACAGGAAATAATAAATCCCTGCTGTGCTTCTAACTAGCACAAACAGCCATGGTCCAGAGACAGGATCAGGGGACTGCAAAAATATTAAGCTCCCTTTTTGAATAAACAAAAAGTAATTCAGCAGCCATGCCTTAGCCTGTTTCCTCAGAGTAGTAGAAGTGAGTTTGTTTTAATCACTTGCACAGCTGCAGGCAAACAGCAAAGAAAACATCCTAGTAGAGCAGATTCCCAATAAACAAAGCACCAGAAAGCACAAGGTGCTGCCAGAACCCTGTCAACAAGGCACCCACCTCTCATTCCCACCTTCCTTCAGTGACTCGCTGGTAGTTGTTCCATGAGAGCACTATCTCTGCTATTTTTCATTCTTTCACTATGATAAGGCTTTCAATATGTCTGCTCCCGAGAACACAACCCACACACAGCCCTCAGCTTGTTTGACATGTCCCTAAGCCAGCCAACCACAAGGTCACAGATTCTCATTCCCAACAACATTTCCCATCTTCTGCAGCCCTCCCTGTATGACACTTGGTAAACTTAGAGCATGATGCCTGTGCTGTTAACTTTGCTCATCTGCCTATATATCCTATGCAATTCCAAGCCCTGGCTTGTAGGCTGTCATGAAATAAACTGTATGTTTATACAAAGAAAACAAAAACAAAAACCTTTGCACTTCCATTTCCTGGGGCGGAGGGAGAGAGATTCTCATCAGATGCATTTTCACCAACATTTGGTATTAACAATTGTTCAAGTGAAGCTAGCCTGCCCAGTCAGAGCTTGGTATATTCCTTGGGCAATGTCAAGAAATCTCTTCTTTGAAGGACAGAGACATGAGATAGATTAACATTATATGCCTTTCTACAGTGCCTGTTGCTTGAACAAAGACTCTCCTCTCTTCTCACACAGATACACACAGAACAAACAGTAACAGGCCCTATGTAAGCTTAGCTCTTTCCAGATCCCTTCACTTGTTAAATTTTGTGTCCCCAAGTGTTATCACAAATAGCCCCAATTTCGATCTGCTACTTTTAAGGCTACCTTTCAGATCTTTGCATCCTCTCACCCAGTTAAAGCCCTGAACAGAAAACCTGTTTTGTGTGCAGATTTCTTTCCCATGCAAATGATATAAGTGGTTCCCAGGGCTTCTTGCATACAATCATTTGTATCATCCTGGCTGGATGGATGCAGAATTGCTGGCAGATACCGGTAGCACCACTAAGAGTAGTGAGCCATTGAAGAAGCAAAGCTCTCTTGGAAACAAACAGGCATTTATGCTTAGTCTTACCTGGGAATGCTGGTTAGGTACGTGACCACATTCAGAAAATCCTCATCAGGTATTTCACTGAATCCTGCAAACTCTGGGAAGGTAATAATTGGTGCTCCATCCTTCCCTCTTCCTCCTGTGAAAGAAAGATTGTAAATAGATTAGAGAGCAATTTTATATCATGGGACAAACTGGTCAGTAAACATTGGCACATCGCTCACTAAAAAACATCCAGATCCTGTATACACAAGATAAAGGAGCTCTAACAATCATCTGGAAGTGTTCAAGGCCAGGCCAGATGAGGTTTTGAGCACCTGATCTGCTGGAAGGTGCCCCTGCCCATGGCAGCGGGGTTGGAACCACTTCATCTTTAAGGTCTCCTCCAACTCAAACCGTTCCATAATTCTATGGCCTTCCTATTTGGTACTACAACTCACCATAGCTTTATTACGCCATTTTACTCCACATGAGATTCTAACCTCAAATCCAGTTTTTTCCATGAATGTTCTGCATAATTTGATTAATTATTTTCTTCGATTATTTTGTTTTCTATTTCCAAGTAATTTCTTGTGATAACATTACAACATTTCCCTATATATTTGTACAACATTTTTGACACCTTCTACATATGAAGGAAACAAAGCGAGAGAGCAAACAAACACTGAATACATTTGTATAACTCGTGACACAGGCTGAAAATCAGTCTAGTCTTAGTTTGTTCTTTGTTAAGAACATGCTCAAAGTACTGAGAATATTTAATGAGGACTACTTTCCTTCCTTGTTTCTTTACATCAATCTTCATTACATATGACATGAAAGTCATAGGCAGCAAAGTCAAGAAGAGCTCCTACCTGAAAGACTTCCTGATCCAAACATCTTGATTCAAACATCATGAGACCTAAGTAACCATGGAGTTGAATGCTTTGTAACAGGGCAGTTCTCCTGACCCAATGCTCAGCAATAGGAGATGCTGTAGTACACAGCATAAATCCTGTTTACTCACAGGACCAGTCCTAATTTGATTCTGATATCAAACCTGGGCATCACTTGTGCCACAGCAGAGTTAACAGGACTTTTCTCACCAGCTTGGACTCAAAGCATAGCATAGGCAAATAAGGGAGTAGCACATAATGGAGTACAAATCAATCAATATATATATACATATATTTCAAACAAGCGTCTTATGCTGCTCAGACAGGGCATTAAGGATACAATATTGCTTTTCACTGAGTCTTTCTCCACTTTCTGCAATCTCTGAATAAGCCCTTCTGTTTTTCAGCTGGCCAAAGCCTTTCCTACAAACTCAACAATGAGCGCAGACCTGCAGCACAGAGCTTTCCTAGTCATTTATCACTCACAGTAGTTTTGCCCAAAGAAAGGCCATGCTTTGGGTTTCCCTTTAGCGAAGGACAAGCTGTGAAACTGACACAAAAATCAGTGCGCTTTGTTAAGGAAGTTATTCAGTACATTGTCCCATAAGGAGCATAAGGAGGAAGCAGAACCTCATGGAAAAAATACAAACCCTCACTGCTTTAAAGTATCCTCCAAATCCAAGTCTGCTTCCACAGACCACTGCTTTTCCCTTTTGTTAACCACAGCTGATGCCACAAACCAGCTCTTCCTGCTCCTGTCTGGTGGCCACTGCAAAGATACGCTCCACTGATTCCCAGCTCTTTCCACGCAGAGTTCCTTACTAGTCCTGATCCTGCCTCTGCCCAACCCTCCCACTCAGCTGGATTCTGTCATCCACCCATGGAGAGCTGGGATGCTGAGGAACATAATGTTTGGATGAAATAGGTGCAAAAACTCTGTTTTATTAAACAGCTGGTATGAACACTCTCCATCCTCCCCCACTACACTGCCTACAACAAGCCTTTACCTTTAACTCATTAATCCATACTTTTTTCCTACAGAACCTGGAAAAAAGAAAGTGGATCCTCCGTACTGCTCTGCAGCTTTATATTAGTCATGGATCCTGCTGCTGTTCATTTAATAGAACTAGCTCGATTCTGCCACTGTTGGACAGCCAACCAGCTTTTTCCTTTATTATTAAAACAGCTTTTCTCATTCAGTCCGAGAAAATCTCCTTAAAATTCTGAACATGGAAACTCTTTTCTTCCTTGACTTCTTGTGAAGTGTTACCTTGTCAGAACAATGCTTTTTGACACCATTTTTCTCTCTGAAAGTCAAATATGACTTTTAGTTACAAGTAAAAATGATTCAGTTATGTTAAATAACCCAACAAACTCACCCTGCTAGGGAGAAAACAGGCCTACAGCAGTTCAAGTGGCATTCAGCCAAAACACTGGGAAAAAAACATTACCATTCACACTGCATTGGACCAATTTCAAATTCTGTACAGAGCCACAGTCTCCACATTGATCTGGGAAGGGGTAAGTGCTGATGCCTGACTCATCGGCCTCAAGGCACACATGCTGCATGATCTGCAGTCAGTGTTGGTGCAGAATACACTGTCAGGGAAAAATTAGTCAAGAGTTTCCCATAAGTCAGACCGTTTGCAGCAGCCAAGAGATCAGGACCTCCAGCCAGCGCCAGTCAGGTTTGTTACAGATACTTACTGACACCTCCTGGGCACGAACAGTAACCGCCAGAAATACAAAGCAGGACGCTTGGCTGCTCTGACTCTTCGTGCAGAGTTCGGTGCGCTCCATGATATTCAACACCTGGTTCCTGGGCACCGTGTTTTGCTACTCAGGTATTTCAGAAACGTAAATATTCTCTTAAAATGTGGGAAATGTAATAACCTGAAATATGAAGGCTAAAGCAGAAATACTTGCATCTGGAGAACAAAGTAAAGGTTCCCCTAGATCATCTCCTTCAAGCACCCGATAGTTTCGTTTACCTGCAGTCACACTCACAATTTGTATAAACCACAAGTTTCTCCTGGCACTTATGACACTGCCCACAGAGGTGGTGATGCTCTCTCTGTCCCTGGAGACACTCGAGGTCAGGCTGGATGGGGCTCTGAGTACCTGATGGAGCTGTACGTGTCCCTGTTCATTGCAGAGGAGCTGAACTACATGGCCTTTAAAGGTTCCTTCCAACTCAAAAGATTCTATGATTCAAATGTCCTTTATGTCCCTTTTATCTTCTTGTTCTTCTTGTTCTTTTACACCCACGTTCACTTCTGAGTTCCTCTAGCCTCTTTTTGCTGAATTAGATAAGAGAGGGTGATGAGGCATACTAAGTATGTGGGCATATATTTTTGTCACAGGGTCTTCTCCTATAATAAGCCATCTGCAGCACAACCTTAAGAGTTCTTGGGCCCCCATCTCACTCTCTGAAGTTAAGCTATCGCCTACTGCTACAACTAAGACAGAAGAATGCTCAAAAAGTTCTTTAATATAGCTGTATTTCAAATAAAGATAGGAAGCTCTCAGTTCCTGTTACACTACCATACTACCGAATGAGAGTGAAATTTGAGGAGGATTTGTAATGGAAAATTCTTAAACATTATCATAGAGAAAAAGCAGGAATGCCCAAAGTGCTGGGGGACAAGTCATAATGCGAATATTAAGAACAGGTCCCTCTCACATCTAAATCTGGAGCATTTGTAGGGAAAACAATCCATATCCAGTTATACAGATGAAGTAGAAGCTACTTATACATCAAGGGTATCTAAAATGCTCTCTTTTCAATGAGAAGAGTTCCGTGCCTTTTTTTTCCCCTGACATCAAACCAAGATTGCTGCAGTATGCAAATTTCTGCAGAACTGGCAAGATGCAGCCCCTTCTTTTTCCCTGAGCCATCATTACTCCTTGTTCTGGGCAGTTGTCAAGAGATTTCTTCCCATTCTTGAAATACTGCTGCTGGCTCTTCAACGCTTTGGCAGGGGACACAAATTAAAAACCAGCAGGGACAGTCTTCACTGAGTTCCACAGCCATTAGGATTGAGCACATGGAATTCGGTCGAAAGGCTCTGTATAGAGTCACTGTTTTTGCCAGGATCGTGTCTAAAACTCATGCTTCTACACATCACTAGAGAGGAAAAAAACCCTAATTGCTGACCAGAAAATTTTACAATTCATTACTAAGGCAGCCAAGGATAGAACGAGCTCCAACAGGTCCACTGAAGGGCAACAGAGAAACTCCTCTCAAAACAAGAAAAAGGCATTTGAAGTAGAAAGTAAAGGCAGAAGGAGGAAGACTGAAAAGAAGCACTAAGCAGAATGAAACATGAAGGCAGCATAAAGCTGAGCGGAATTACACTATGGCTAGCCGGGGCACGTCCATACCATTCAGCAGTGTCTGTGCAACAAAGTAAGGGGGCCAAGGACTGCCAGGAGCATTGGAGATTGACAAAAAGCCAAAGCAACGTGAGGCATGAGCTGAGCTCACATGCTGCATGGGAGGAGCAGGCTATAATAGCTTGAGTTTGGTACAGTCAGAGGAGATACACTGAACAAAGAGACAGCAGCACAGCTGGGCCTGGCAGCTGTCTTCAGGCAATGCACAGGCCTCTGTCTTGCCTACCTGCAGCAGCTCCGGGCACCATTAGATGCCACCCTGTAGCTCTCTTGGAGCACTCAGCCTCCTCCAGCACCTGGCAGCCCCAGACGCTGGCTGCAGGCCAAGGACAGAGGAGCCGGTGACAGTGAAGGGCGCCTTTGCACACAGCAGCAACCAGTGCTGGAGGTTCAGCTGGCAGGAGGGGGGTGAGAGGAGGTTCAGGGCCATCCTCAGGCTGAACTCACGCCAGGCTCACTCCTGACCCCGCCCTGAGGACACCAGGCCCCCACTGGCAGCTGCCCATCACTGCTGCTCACAGTCACATCCAGGCTGCTGTCAGAGCTGGTCCCAGACTTGTCAGTAAAGACTCACCTATCCCTGAGCACAATACATGCTGCCACTCATCAATTCATCAACTTCCCTCAAGAGGTTCAGCTTCTTTTTGCTCTCTACCTCTGCAGGTAGCCAGAATCCTGCCTCACAGGATTCTCTCCTTCTCTCCTCTTCCTGTGCACTTTCCTTATTTTGTTCCCCATCTTGCTCCGTGTTTTTCCTATTCCCTTGTGGTTTAAGGGCAAAGGGACAGGAAGAACCTGGGTGACAGCACAGAAGTACACAGCAAATGTGGAAGGGAAAAAAGTAGGAGGGATGGCATATAAACTGAAT